CGTCGATACTAAGATATTCTAAAGACATAGGCAACCCTATCTGTTGTCCGATCTTCATTAGTGTGCGGATGTTGAAGGAAGCCAGTTTGAATGGCATATGTCGCTTCAGAAAGACTGTTTCAGTATTCGTATTCGGTGGTAGCATTCAACTTTTGACCAGTCAGTGACTCGAGATCGTTTAGATAGAACAGATTTTCCACAGTAGGTGAGCTGCTGTATAAGTTGAAAAATAAGGATGCACAAATTGAAAACAGAATAGTGTAGATAAGTGACGCAGTATATAAAAAAACAAAAATGAATGTTATCAAATGAATTGTTTGAACTTTAATTGAAGCAAGAACAGTATTTCCAGTAATTATTGTCATTTCATTTTATTTGTGTGTGATCTGCCTGGGTGCCCAAATCGAAACAGGTGGTTTTCTTAGGAGGCCACACTCAGAGCCTTCGACCTAAAGGTCTAATCCACAACGTCAGGAGATGCAGTCCCATGGTAGCCGGTGACCAACAATAGGTTCATACGCCATTTTTTTCCTTCAGGATACTGGAGCCCATGTACACCATTGGTTTGGAATCAGGGTTGACCAACTTCTCTAGGTGGATCCTCCATATCCACTAACTCGGTCGTCACTACTTATACCTTCAATACCCCTACCACCACGGGATTTGAATCGATAACTGAATCTCTGTGCTAATGTGGTATGGCAACTCGAACTGATGTACGTACGTACGAAGTTCCACGTTGTTTCTGACTGATTGACTGACTGACCAACTCGGTTAAAGCGCCGGACATTCGCTTTTTGTCTTCTCAACTTCGTAAACAACACACCCGCCACGAGAAGGCAGTGAGTAGGACTTCCCTGGTAGTGGCTGTATATGCGTGGTGATGTGAGAGCATTTCGGGAAGGAGAGATGACTCTCCACACCCTCAGCCGTACCAGGGTATTTGACGGCACTCCATGACAATATTAGTAGTCACAGAAACATATACCGATAAATTGATATTAATCTCCGACAGTCATACGACCCAAGTCCTCATGCTCCATTGGGAAAGTGAAATGAAATTGTAAGGGCGAATCCCAAACTATTAGAGATAGTAGCAGTATTAGTGGCAATATAAAAGCTTAGACGTCCAAGATACAATTCGAAACTATAGAACAAATTAGTGAAGTAGAAACGTTTATAAGGAACTTAGAATATAGTGGAAAGACAGAGTGGACCTACATCATGGCGAAAGATTTTGAGCCATATCATCCAAAGTCTCTAAACATTCATCACTATAATCAGGCGAACTCCAACCAGGTAGTCTCCACCAACCTACGTGGCTCAGTCCAAAAATCACCATTTCCAAAAACTAATTTCATGTCTTGGTTTGCATATCTCATCCAAGCCAAAAGTTAGCAAAACTCAGTCGAGCTTTTTGAATGCATACCGAGATTTCTTCCGACACCAATCAACATGAGATGATTAAGCTTTCGAGATAAGTGAAGTGATCGATAAACACAACCAATTCATTCTCTATTATTAGTTCAAATGTTGATGCTGACCAGACACTGAGAAATCGTGTTGTACTTGGAAGGAGAGAAACACATAACAAATATCAATCCATTGTTGCTTAAGGTGGTCAGAAGACTCTGAATTTTGTAAACGTTTTCATCAAATAGAACTAAATCATCTGCTTATTCTAAGTCAAAAGGGAATCTCTTAGTAGAAGATTAACCTCCGAAAAACCAGATGATGAGAACGTTATCTACAAAAAAGTCAATATTACAAAGTTAAATTAAAATGAGGAAGGTGGACAACCTGACGTACACCAGTTGAGGTCATCACTTTCGATGACGATTCGCCATAATCTCTCGCTCCACCAGTAGTATTCGAGTAGATAGCCTGTACAAGGTTAATGTGATTCTTCAGTACGCCTTTCATTAGTAACTACTGCCATAAAACTTGTCAGTCAACCGAGTCGAACGCTGCTTCAAAGTCAGGAAATACAATTGTGGTTTGGAGTTGATAGGTGTGCGTTCCAGAACCTGGAAAGAGGTGAATATTCGATCTACACATCCACGCCCAAATCTGAAACCACTAGTTTTCTTGACTTTGATCTACATATGCCCTACTTGGGGGTTGGATGACTACGGAGGCTCATATTTTAAAAACACTACATCAGTTAGTCTGATTTCTCTGTTGTTTATCACACGAAGATTTTGTCCCTGCTTATAGACTGGGACAATCAGTGATTGAGACCAGTCAGACAAGATTACTTCCGACTCCCAGACTCTAACTAATATCTCAGTCAATCTAACAGCCAGAACTGGATTGCCATACTTAGCGATCTCTAGGGGGTCAATCCATCAGGGCTTACTACACTCCCTTGTTTACGACTAACCATACTTTTTCCTATTTCTTTAAGTCAGGAGGTTTTGGTCGACATCTCATCCAGGTTGCTTGGTGAAATTAGGCAATTGAAGTGTAGCTGGAGAGCAGTTAAACTGTTCTGTCCATCGTTGCAGTATTCGGTATTAAGAGCGGATCAATGTCTAATCTTTCTCAGAACGTTTCACTAACTCACAAGTTTTTAGTACATATCTCTAATAAGCCTGAAAGGTTATCTGCTGTTACTTACTACCACCGCTTTTGCCTTAGCTACGCACCACTGCTCGCGATCGTTGTGTAAACTTTACGCCAGTCTACATTTAAGTTACCTTTACTCTTCAACTCGTTCGAAAACTGACGGGATGAGTTTCCGAGTATCTATGAGTTGAGTAAACCCCGATCAAATCCACTGGTTTTTCTTAACCTTTTATTTGTGATCACTAGTAGATATTTTTCCGAAATACACGCATTACCCTTTTATAATTAAGTTGAGCTCTAAGAGGGTTTCCTACCTAAATTTTCTGCGTCCAGTAAGATGCAAGCAAACGCATGCTCATTAGAAAGCATGGTCCCAGTCTAGATAGGCATGCCAGAATGAGCGAAAGACTTATCAAGCCTTTTTAACCATGGTGACATGGTTTATTTATGTCTATTGAGAGGCAAAACACCGAAGTGTTCAAGTAGAATCTCAGATGTTTTAGTTGCCTACCGCAAATCAGTACTCTAAATTGATTACTGACACCAACCCTCCAACATTTAGTAAATTTCAAGTTACGACTAACGTGAATTGAATGAGCAGAGGAATTTAATAGAGTGATTCATGATACTCATTAATCTTGGTCTTGGCTTTTTTTAACTAAATCAGGTGATAAAGCTCATAGGTTGAGTGTAATTCCACCTGACCGAATTCTATCAATGACTGTTACAGCTTATATGAACTGAAATCTTTTTTTCAATAACTATGAATAATCACTCTAATCTAACTAAACAAGGCTATTTGAGTTAATTCAATTAAATTATAATCCTAGTATTCAACTGAATACAGATCTGGGATTGTAAAACCTGAGGAACAGTCTTCAAAGAATGGTATGAATATTCTACTTAGAAAGGATATAATGATTAGATAAACCTATCCTACAAGCCAATTCTCGTTTATAAACTGTATTTAAGATGAAATATCTTAAGGCCCCTTAGATGAATCTTTTAACTGATTACGGGTAATAACATCACACAATCCAATATTGTGACTTTCGATGTGATTAACTTTGCGCCTGATACACTGCTACATCCAAAGTATTTGGGTGGTTTTGTGTTACCTGAGGCGAATGGTTTCATTTATTTATTATTTATTTTAACACATAGATATCGGTACAAGAAGGTACCATATACATATGCGCCACACATATCTCATTTGATATGTGTGAGGGCTGTGATACTGCCCAGGTGCCCAAACCGAAGCAGGTGGTTTTCTTAGGGGGCCACACCCCGAGCCTTTGACCTGAACGTCTGATCCACAAGGCAGTGGAGCATCGTGAGGAGATGCAGTCCCATGGTAGCCGGTGACCAACGATTGGTTCATACGCCATTTGTTCCCGCAGGATACTGGAGCCCATGTGCACCATTGGTTTGGGATCCAGTTAAAGCGCCGGAAATTCGCTTTTCGTCCTCTCATTTTCGTAAACAACACCCCCGCCACGAGAAGGCAGTGGTTAAGCGCCCGGCGCGAGACTGATAGGTCCTGGGTTCGAATCCCACGGGGTGCGGGATCGTGGATGCGCACTGCTGAGGAGTCCCATACTAGGACGAAACGGCCGTCCAGTGCTTCCAGGTTTTCCATGGTGGTCTAGCTTCAATTGATTCATGATTTCATCTATTGAATGGTTTCATTCTGTAATCAGATACTACCGAATTGTCTTAGTGAGATAAAAATCCTTACCATACTCAAAACATGACGGAACATACAAAAATAAACACAAACCAATTCTCCTGGTGAAATCCATGTCATTCAACATCACTCGATAAGTAAAATGTCAAACAGCTGAAAAGATCCCAGATATACAAGCTAAGGAGATAATTGAAGTCCTCAGTTTTTGTGCAATTTGAACAGTAACGTGAGAAAATTATAGAAAGCCGCGAACAATACTAAGTATGACCATGCAAACAATATAATAAGTTTCGTGCAAAGGCTTAGTTCACGCTTTTCTCTAAGTAGTGATAAACTCAAAGACAAAGATCAATGAAAAATGGAAGCCCAATACAGAAAAATGTACAAGAATTGTATTTGTGCATATGTCTGACTGTTACAAACTAGTAAAGATAAGCGAAAACAGTAGTAATAATAGTTGATGTCATGTACATAGTGTCCAAAATAGCAAAATAACTTTGATTTACAAAATTAACCAAAATCCTTTACATCCAACAGAATATAGACCAATGAATGCAAAACACTATAAGTCGCCCAAAATGTGAATCTGAATAAGTAATTCTACGAACATAATGTTTATAAACCATAGGGATTACTTTATTAATCCCTGCTGCTTTAGTCAAGAAAAAGTATAAAATGACCAGTAAGACTCCCACACTCAAAGACAAAACGAGTGATCTAGCTTGGTGATGTAACACGGCTACATTCATTTGATATTCTATGATCGACAACTCTCGAGGATTCCCCAGACTTCCCCGTTTTACTCATACATGGGTCTTCTACTCCAGAATCTATCTTTGTAGAGGATTGAGACTCTTTGGTAGGATCGATTTCTTCATCTTCCTTCACATCAATTGATACATTATCATCATCATCAGAGCCATAGTATTCGTCATGATCATCGTAATCAGATAGTCCATCTACATCATCACATTGATAAAATGTTTTAGACGCAGGTCTACCACTAACACAGTATTCCTCAAGGGTGGTTGGAACAGTAACTCCATCTTGTTTGGCCTCCTCGTGAGTCGCTCTAACGAGTGACCTAAAGTAGGAAAAGGATATTTAGAAAATCGCTTAAAAACCGGGGCAAAAGAGTGACCTCTATTATTATTTATTTGAACACATAAATATTATTACAAAGGTGGACCGAATAGATATGAGCCACACAAGTTACTTGATTTGTATGTGGGCTGTGATACTGCCTGGGTGCCCAAATCGAAACAGGTGGTTTTCTTAGGAGGCCACACTCAGAGCCTTCGACCTAAAGGTCTAATCCACAACGTCAGGAGATGCAGTCCCATGGTAGCCGGTGACCAACAATAGGTTCATACGCCATTTTTTTCCTTCAGGATACTGGAGCCCATGTACACCATTGGTTTGGAATCAGGGTTGACCAACTTCTCTAGGTGGATCCTCCATATCCACTAACTCGGTCGTCACTACTTATACCTTCAATACCCCTACCACCACGGGATTTGAATCGATAACTGAATCTCTGTGCTAATGTGGTATGGCAACTCGAACTGATGTACGTACGTACGAAGTTCCACGTTGTTTCTGACTGATTGACTGACTGACCAACTCGGTTAAAGCGCCGGACATTCGCTTTTTGTCTTCTCAACTTCGTAAACAACACACCCGCCACGAGAAGGCAGTGAGTAGGACTTCCCTGGTAGTGGCTGTATATGCGTGGTCATTTGAGAGCATTTTGAGTGAGAGCTGACTCTATTTGCACAAGACTACCTTCTAAACTTTGATTAGTCATTACATATCACACTCCTGTTTGGACAACCGGTATTTCAACATAGTCCACATCACAATAACCTGCATTTGATAAATGAGCCAAATTTGGATGCTTTCGTTTACTCAAGTGAAAAAATATATGGATGAAGGGACACGATGCTGTCGGTATGACTGACAATAGCTTGTGCTGGATGAAATTACGACATGTAGGATAGATTACTGAGTTTTATCAGCTATCTAAGTAAGTCTTAACTTTTTCATCTAGATCAATAAAGCAAATGCCCTGGTACGACCAAGACTGAGGGGAGTCAGCTCTCCCACTCGAAATGCTCTTACATGGCTGCACAAATATAGCCACTACCAGGGAAGTCCTACCCACTGCCTTCTCATGGCAGGGGCATTTTTTACGAAATTGAGAACAAAAAACGAATATCCGGTACTTTAACCGGGTTGGTGGACACCGAGGGTCCACCTACGGGAGTTGGTCGACCCATGGGCTCCAGTACCCTGAGGGGGCAAATGGCGTATGAAACAATTATTGGCCACCAGCTTTATTTATTTATTTATTTAACACATAGGTATTGGTACAAGGAGGCACCAAGTACATATGCGCCACACGAATCTCAATTGATTTGTGTGAGGGCTGTGATACTGCTCGGGTGCCCAAACCGAAGCAGGTGGTTTTCTTAGGGGGCCACACCCCGAGCCTTTGACCTGAACGTCTGATCCACAAGGCAGTGGAGCATCGTGAGGAGATGCAGTCCCATGGTAGCCGGTGACCAACGATTGGTTCATACGCCATTTGTTCCTTCAGGATACTGGAGCCCATGTGCACCATTGGTTTGGGATCCGGTTAAAGCGCCGGACATTCGCTTTTCGTCCTCTCATTTTCGTAAACAACACCCCCGCCACGTGAAGGCAGTGAGTAGGACTTCCCTGGCAGGGGCTATGTACGCGTGGCCATATGAGAGCATTTCGAGAGGGAGAGCGGACTCTCCCCACTCTCAGCCGTACCAGGGCATTTGGGGGCTGGCCACCAGCTACCGTGGGACTGCATCTCCCTACGTTGCTCTACTGCCTTGTGGAACAGACCTTTAGGTCAAAGGCTCCGTGTTTTGCCCCCTAGGCAGTATCACAGCCTTCACACAAATCAAATGAGATTTGTGTGGCGCATATGTATCTGGTTCCCCCGTGTACCAATATCTATGTGTTCAAATAAATAAATAATGAATAACACGGTTTGCCCAAACTTAAGGTAGTTTGCCTAGCTGCCGGTTGAATCTATGTGGAGCTACTTCTGAAATAATGAAGATGTGCAGCTTACATGGATGAGTAACTGCTTCTTCAACATTACACGAGTATGTTATATGAAAGTGAATACATTCCACAGAAGCATGAAGAATAATATTAAGAATTTTAAACGCCGCATGTCCTGTTCGTGGCTCTAGGTAAATAAACGATGGTCATAATGAGCTAAACCTCGTAGTGAAAGCACACAAACTATGAGACTAGATATGTGGGATGAAATAATTATACAACTATACACTTCGATTTATGGCCACTGTAAGAATAGTTAGTCGATTTCCTACACTTCAGACTTTCAATTCATAACTAACTAATTTGAAACTTACGTAACTACACGTTCGTACTCATCCTGAACTCCATTGGACTCTTTCCATTTCCTATAAGCCACTGACGCATCGACATGAGCAGCTGAATGGATGTTTGGCTCATTCAATAAAGAAATGACACTCAAAAGAATCGTCCTTAAACGAATAAAGTTATTGGGGTTCATGCTAACCTGACGTTTTGTGTCGGATTCCATCTCTCAGATGGCAGCTCACCGCTCTGTGGGTCATCACCTGGGGAATGCAAAATTGATATACAGACTTCACCATTCTCATATATGTTCGGGTGATACATCCTGCTAAGAAAATGCATTGTAGGAGGACTATATGGATAGTCGTCAGGGAAACATAGTCGTGCCTAAAAGTCTACGTCACAAAAGAGTAATCTACCTTGAAATAACCTCCTTCATACAAAGTCATTGGTGGTCCAAATATGGCGACGTCCCAAACAAAAAGATTTTCCTCTTCCGAAACCATCACTTTGAATCCCTCCACTGGGAACTCATTCAAATCTTTAAGTTCCTTTTGAAGTGCTTTAACAGCACTCGCGTTTGGTTTACGAGATGCCATCGGCCATCAGCTGCGCTCAAATTCAAATAGCGCCCACTACCTTTATCCGATATCCAACATTTTTGACCCATAGCTGGGCAGATATAACGGAGTTTAGGCTTTTAAAGGCGTGCATTGGATATATATTAGGCGATTTGTTGGCACATTATTTAGAAATACTAATGTTTTAAACTCTGAAGCTTGAAGTGATATGAAAGTGTCTGAGGCGTAACCTTGAACGCGTGGCCTATTTGTCATTAGCCTCAAAGTTCATATTGACCTTTCGATAGAATCGAATGATTGCTTTACACTAAGATTTGTTAAAGAAAATCCCATGACATGTATTTTTACGTTAGACGAAAACGAACTTAACGTTCAGATAATGCCCTCCTAATTTTCATCTAAGGCTAAAATCTCAGAAGTGATTGTAGATCACCGACGTAGATGATCTATGTCGAAATGATTGGGTGCCCACTTGCGTTAGACGGGAATGGTTTGACGAACCAGCTAGTGTCGAAGTCACACTTCGCGGTCTGCACCTTACGTGGGTTACCCCATTGACGTATCAAGGTACTATAGATGGTTTGAAGACTGTACAACACAGAGGACGTTATTACAGAGATATATTAGTTAAAAGAGATACAAGCGAAAGTAAGACCACTGCCGCGTGATGCCAGTCCATGGCGGACGATTAACTGATGCGCGTTGGTGGTCCCTGACCCTGACGAGGATCGAGGATTTGTTAGATATTCAATGACCAAACTGCCGGATGACTTGGCTAGGACTCAGTGGAATTTCACTGGCCCTACGTGATCTTTATTGATTGGGAGAGTTTAGCTTTGTAAACTACGTGACAATCGAGTCTTTTATCATCCTCTTGTACTTCGTGAACTAAGTTTAAGGGCAAATCAACTTGTATTCTGTTCTTGCCGACAAACGTGTCGATAAACGGCTACTAGGATTCCTCATCAACATCAATCTGCACACTCTTCTCTAACAACACTGATGAAGTCGATGCAGTCCTGGGTTTTGATTTTCTCACTAGAGTAGGTCGATCAAAATGTCTCTATGACCAGTGAAAAGCCTTCTAGCGTTGTTCAAACCACCATTTATGTGATATTCTATATTTGGTCCAATCTTCCCTTAGATTTCTATCATATCGAGGGACTAACCATTTTAAATTTCCACTATATTGTAGCGATAAATAAATCTTTAAAATCAATGACTCGGTAAGCCTTCGATATCTGATGTCGACCCCATCAGCTTTAATGGACTCACCTAGCTGAAGGCCCTCGGTCACGCACTCGCACCATATCACGAGTTGGTGCGCTGTGTTCAACTTCTCTTACAACTGCTAGCCAGTTTAGATCGGTCACTTCTCGATATACTGATAGCCCATCAAATACATTGTTAAACCTCTTTGCTCCTGGCTTCCAGTTTCACTGGGTTGGCACGTTTCGATTATAGAAGGTTTAGTGGTGTAAACATGAAAGTAGCTTATGCAAGTTTCTATATTCAATTGATGGCGATGCTGACTCTTAACAACACTAAGCAGTTACTTTTATATGGTGTAGTCATGTATTCCACCGCTTATTAAGTTATAGTGATCATGTATATTTATGTTTCGTAAAATAACGTACTGAGAATAAGCCCATCATAACCGTCTTAACTAAACACTTCGCTGTATTACCACACGTACCACGTTACGTAATGCTAAACCCATCTTATCAACCTTTTATATAGTGTATACGTTACCTCGATCTGAACTTTAGTCTTATAGGTGATTACAACGTTAACTAATGTTTACTGTTTGGTTTGCACATACAAATTAACTCGCGATTTGACTTTTTATTGAACTATGTCATTTTAATTTTATTTTCAACCTAGCAATGAGTGATTGGCCATTTTCACATTATGATCCAAACAGAAAAACATTGTGACGTAAATGCTCTGTGACGTCTAAAGGAACATCAGTTCTTTTTAACGCTATAGAAACTATTCAACATTTTATAAACCAATTCATAACTATTTTTCAGTACCACCACATACCATTGTTGAGAATTAAGGAACGCGAAATGTGGTCGGTACAATTTATATAGCCATCAATCGATTGCACACCATGGATAGGTGCATTCGGCAGTGGTTCCATCTTGCATTTTTGTAACCTGTTGATACTGATATGCGTTGTTGCCGATTGTGAGCATTAATCCTATCCAGCCACTTAAGGAGTTTATTCAGCCGTTTATCATAACTGCACAACCCAGGTCAAGGATTTCCTTTGGGGTAAAACCTTAGTGTAAGGCAGTTGGTCATACTATACTTGTCCCATTAGAGTAGACAACGATAATCCACGTAGATCACTAACATTGGTGATCTATTTGTTCAATGACAAAGTAGCGAGAATACATTTCTGCCCTCTCACAGTACAGCCACTGGGTTATCCATTGATTCGGTCGAAATGTAGAAAGTAGGATCAGACTTCGAGATGCACAGTCATACAATATTTATCTGCCTAGGTTTCTGAGTTACTAAGCATGTTATTTTGATGTATATGTGAGGGTCACGAAAGATCTACTTCTTACCCAAGGCTTAGCAAATAGCAGTTTCTACTGGCTGACGAAGTTGAAAGAGACTGAGACACAAACAACAGGGTGACTTAGGAGTGAATTCCACCTAACCCACACAGATCATGTCAAAACACACCGTACATATGTATAGCTATGGTCCTCACTGATGAAACCTTGGAAGGCCAACTGGCTATTTGGGGTAAAAGCAGCCTGACCAAGAGGATGTGTAGACAAGATAACTTATTTGGTGTCTTTGCAAAGTAGCCGATTTCGTTTCTTTGCACTCTTGTGAGAGTCGTTCAAACGGTAGCCACACAGACATTTTCATGGTCATTTCTTTTAAAGTTCTACCAGATCAGGTTTTGGACAGATTTCCATCATGTGAACCGTTTGATATCGACACGTCGACATCATTTATTAACTGATCATTATCAGTACAGAGAGCCTGTCATTAAAGAGCCTACAAACCTCCACTGTAATCTCCAGAGTGTACGACGAACTATCACACTCAAGGATTTGATTTGGTGGAGACATTTCCTTTTTTGTCTAATTAGATGTAAGTAGAAATTAACTGCGGGCTAAAAGATATCTGTACGTAATCTGTTTTGAGTGTGTTGCCTCTCACGATTAGCGTAATTTCTTTTGTGCTAACGAAACGGCTTCGATGATTTTCTGCAGGATAGAAATTTGTAAGTGATAACTGTTTTTCACGTGGTCTTGAAATTTTTCGACTTGTTCATTTGTAGGGTGTATTATACGGAGACTATCATCCTATCTTGTATATCGGGTAAATTTTACCTAAAAAAATTTTGACGGATACTTACCAGCTCATACTATTCCTATTTCGGACTTAAGTCTAAAATAAATCTAAAATTTATTATATACTCATAGTCTCCGATCCTTGTATTAACCAGGTTAATACTCAACAACTACTAATACTCTGATAATATATTAGATTTAACGAGCTCTACACCCAGTTTCAAATCATGGTTAATAACTCCAGTAAAAGAGAAATTTCACCAACTTCTAAGCCAAATAAAAAATCCAAATCTGTAGCCCCTATGACTGACGACTCAGTACCTGACGATGTCAAACCTCTAACGAATGAACAATGTGCGCTATGTACACATATGTCACTGTCATCACCTGATTCTCCATGTTACTGCCCCTCCATCTCTGCGTGCAGTATGCCAACGGTAAGACTGGTTGACATACAAGACACTATACACATGTGCATCGAAACGTCAGCACAGTCTGCCAGATAGTGCGTTCTACCGAGGCTTAAATCTAAAATTTCAAAAACTAAAGAGTCCAATAGTCGGTCTCATACACATGAAAATACTGATAGAAATAGTACTGATATCCGTCAACTACATAACTCTCTAGCCAAAATAAACGGAAGACTTGAGCAACTAGCACCCCTCACGCACATATGGGGCCCTGACACTGATAGGAATCTTGAGCAACTCACTAAATCTGAGCGTATTTTGAAGTTTGTGACTGAAGAAGTGACGAAAAGAGTGATATCCTCCCTCAATGCAGTCGCATATAAACTCCCCGACCGCATACACCCATCTAAGTTGAGGGATATTTGCATTAGAGCATGTGGTATGCTGAACGTTAACTGCAAAGTCAAACGCCTTAGAAAAAAGTCAGACAGATCAACCTGCCCCCTCCTGTTTAAACAGTTTATTGATTCGAGCAAAAATATTAGCTCACTAATTCCCTACAAAAGTATAAAAGTCACTCCAGACCTTACGCCCTGTCAACGTTGTGTAAGAATACATGAAGCGATAGGATTGCATGGTAGTATTACAGTGAATAACCAGGCAGAATCAGTTTACAACAATAAGCATGACATCACTCCACGAACAGTCGATCACTCTGTTGATCTAGATGAGTCTGCTGATCATAAACCTTTAGATAATATACGGACACCAACTGTCTCCGAAAAGTATAACGACATGTCTAATCCCAGCTGTTCACTCAGTAATGTACTAAGATGTGAGTCATGCGGCAACACGCACCTAACTAAACATATACACTTAAAAGTTAATCCTCCTTAAGACACTCCACAGGTTGACTCAAATGAACCTAAATTCATCTCACAGAGACAACGAAAGACTCAAGCTATGATAAAAATGGTTGGGAAGATAAGACTCACGATACCGAGTAGAAGAACACGTAAGGCTGAACCCAACTGCTCTGTAGGTATCCCAACAACAGTGAACAGGTTCTCCCCACTGATATCATGTAACTTGCCTTCAACACCTCTAAGTTGAAAAATGGGTAGTGGGCTACAGCGTTGCAAGCCTTTTTACACGCAGACTAACAAAAACTACCAGAGTACTGATCACTCCAAGCACCCCCTAAAGCTTAAAACCATTAATAAGAATGGTAATAATAGGTTTCTCACTTCACACCCTATCTACATTCCCCAGGATCATAATTGTA